TTTTTTTTCAGAAAAAATCTGTTTGACTGATTTAAGGAGTAGACGGGTTTTTATTAATCAAATAAATCATTCTGCACTTGGAAGAGACAAATACGCACTTGAAAGGTAGAATTAAGTGAAGAAACTGTTTTTTCTATATCAGCTTAAAACTTAGGCTTATTTTTATACCTTTTTTGTTCCAATTTTAGTCTTTTAAAAGCCACAGAAGAAGGCTTTATACTTTTTGCTTGTCTCTGACCAAAACACAAGTATAAGACTTTACATCCTTTAAACACGCATTACAAGCACAGAAAAAGTTCTTGAAACTGTAGCGGTACTGCTTATTGCAGACTGAGTAAACAGAAAGTTATTTTTCTTTGAATAATAGCTTTTAAAAGAAAAATTCTGCTTATTTTATACGCCTGCTACTTTAGATGACCACTAGTGGTCCATAAAATAGTTCAGATTTATTATGAATTTTTTTATCGTTGAATACGTACTGTAATTTGATAGCATAGCATATCTTACAAGTTTAAACTTTTTAAGCATTAGACTTACAAACATATAACAGTGCTGCCTGAATTTTTCAAATCCCGGTTGGCAGTTGTTGACAGCTGAAAACTGCATAATTGTTCATCTGAATATGAACATTTAAGGTATAAGAGAAAGAAACTGCATACGGTAAAGTGATTGAACTGATAAATTGTTGGAAAAAAATTTTTTTTGATGTTAACCAAATAATTTTAGATACTTTTTAAAGTAAAATTTGATAATTTTAAGTGTAATTTTATTGATTAATCAAAACTCTTCGTTATTAAAAAACTACTAAATTTAAAAACTAACGGTCAAATTGACACATATAAGGTAACTTAGTGAGACACAAAGTTGTACTAAATCCTCCTCGATTTCCTCCAGTAGCACAATCGAAATTTTGGTCAGCAGTTTTCAAAAATTCTGTCTCATTTTTATCATCAAATGTATACCATTCCCAATCTGTTTCCCAACGACGCAATCCAACCCAAAATGTTGTCTGCATCACTTTGTCTAGAATAAGTAGAAAAAACGTACTGCTGTTGTAATGTTACGAAGAAGAGTAATAGACTTATGTTCTGCTTTAAGTAAATAAGTCTATCAGGAAAATAACTTGCAATGTACTTGTACAAAGTTTACAAATAAGCTCAAAATTCATTTTTGTGTGGTGATTGCCTTATGCACTCTCTATATTATGTGCCCTTTTTTATTTAGTTCAATCCAAAAGGATACTTAAAAGAGATGAATATGTCTGACGGTTTGGCAGTACAGCTAAAGTACCACTCAACAGTTGGCATTGTGCCGCAGCATCCATCCAAGAAAGTGGCTCAGGAAACTGCAATATGTTAATTGGTGATTTCGCAGTTAATTTGAAAAAAGCCTTACACAGTTTATTTCGCGTCAAATTACACACTCTTTACAGTTGAAATCTTAGTTTCTAAACTTTACCTTCACGAAGATATGGTTTTTGAAGTTGAAAAATTGAGAAATCTTTTTGTCAGGTTCACAAATTTATTGTTGCTAAGTCCCCCCGCCTTAGATGCGTTATCTTGCTAAAATACGTTGTATTCATTACGTTTTATTCCGGTAAACCATTAAAACTTCCTTATTTGCAAAGATTTCACCTTAAGAGTTTTTTTTGCAGAAAAAAGATCTTTTACAAAATATGTTCAGAAGAATCTAAAGTAACTGGCAGAATTCGTTTTTTAAACTTTGACAAACCTTTTATATTTCATATTTTAAGTTTTTCTCGTCTGATACACGAGTCGAATGATTATGTTACCAAATTCAAATAACACAAGTTTTTTCTAAATCCAACGACAGCTAATCTTATTCATATTTAGCAAAACAAGAAGAGGTGAAATTTGGAAAAAAAAAGTTTAAAAATTTTTTAAATTTTAATAGATGTAATATGCGGCATTGATAGATCAAATATCGTATTTGGCTGCAGGTATTAAACCATATGCTGAAAGCTTCTGTGTCTGTATTGCTTTGAGTTAGTTTATTGAGTTTCTCCACCTTAATCTTTGTGTCACTTTTATACTCCCACAAGCATTAGCGTTGCTGTTAGACCCTTTCTTACGTGCTTCTACTACAGAATCAGCTACCAATTCTGCAGCAACGTTGTCTATTTACTTCTTTTACTGATTACTTATTTATTCTGCCTCTTTTTTTACTTTACTTTTAATATTTACTTACTAAATGTTTCGTTTTATGTTGTGTCTTTGCTACATTTAATAGAAAGGTTGGTGGACAAGAAAACAGCAACGAGTTTTACCACATATTTGCAAATCACTTTTATGCATAAGTTCTCAAGCTAATAATGTCGTAGAAAAAAAAAACGGCGAAAAAGTGAGTTATACTGAAAAAAAGCTCTAAAAAGTTTTCAAATGAAAAAAATTTTATTTTATTAACTTTTTACGTATTTTTGACGAACTAAGTAGTGATTTTTGTCGTTAAAACAAAAAAAAAAGGAGGAAACATAGGACCAAAACTTACATATTTGTAGCATGTGTTGTTTATTTCGTGCCAAATATACGGACATAAAGAAGTTTCTGCA